AGACGATGATGTTACCGGTTTCAGTATCATTTAGGATACATGTTCTACATTATAATCTGACAGTACACTTTTGTGATTCCTTTTTGGGAAAAACAAGCTTTTCTACTGAGATAATATCAGAAGCGGCAACAGCAGCAGAACAAAACTTCAAACTCAAGCGCTGGGAGCCACGTCGAAGCTTTGATTTATTAAATCTCTTCTCCAGCTGCTATCCGCACTCATCCTCACGTCCAGCGAATCACTTTACCAATGGATGACGTGTGAATCACGTGTGCCCTGCTCACACAACTGTGATAACGGTATACTGATGAACTAATACTTCATGAGTAAGGCACGCAGAGATTACTTTTCCTCGCAAGAACATCTCATATATGCTTCTCGTTGCTTACGAATGTCATATTGCTTTTCTGGCCACTTTACGGCAAATAAATACGAAGCGTGCCAGGCATACAGAACTCCTACCAGTCGGATGGGTTAACGTTTCTGTTCGAATTGTCAGTGGGCGAGGATTTGTGTCAGCGAGTTACGTAGACGGCGTAGGGTAGGTACTAACAACAACTGCTCTCGAGCTTCGCATATGACGTACGATTTCCACAGCCAGTTCAACTCGCTGGAAATGTCACAACTGTACGTGAGTTGTCGAGCTTGCACGTGTGGGTACTTTACCGCGAGTTATGAAGCCGAGGTGTTATTGCAGTGTTGCGTGGCATCGACGTCACGACGTCACGTTTATGTGAATGATCTTTTCCAGTCAAGCTTGCAATCTCGGGCTTATTGCAGGAACTTTTTGCGTTTCGAAGTTACAGAGGGTACGTGCCTCGTTCGCTGCGAGCTGTAAATTTCTTTTTTCTTTTATCCACACTCCATATTAGATCCGAGAATCTGTGCACTCTCAAAGTAAACGTACAAGTTCATCGAAAGCCATTTACTAATTTGTCTTTTAAAGTAATTCTATGACATTACCATTATTTGAGATAACTTATCCGATTTGAAGTCATTTTAAGCCAAGGGAAGACTTTTAAAGTCTTTGATAAATAGAGAAATTCGGAATAGAATGCAAAGTCCTTCAAAGACTCCCCTTCAAAGGATCGGAAAGTTTTGTGGTATTTCAAAACGACTTTGAAATGTTCTAAATATTTTGAAATATCCAATACTTTGACTGGGTGACTGAGTTGAGAGAGTATGCTGCATTTGAGCAAAACATAAGAGGTTTAATGAAGGCATCCTGGAACAATTATCAAAACGTGCAGGGCGCTAATAGAGAAGCGATAAGATCTGACAAAGGGACTTGGTAAATAGAATTTGAAGTTGAAATTGTATTTTTACTTCCCAAAAAATCTAATAGACGATGGCTAAAGAATAGTTGCTTGAGCGATGCTCACAAATTTCACTAAAGGGTTATCTCGATTTTTATATTATATGCATCTTCAAAGCTTGCACCATTTACACTCAAAAACCATTTATCTTCGCTGCGTTTACTGGCTTTCTAGAGACGCCAGTAGCATCGGTATCAGACCGTGTGGTTGAATAGCTGTGTACAGCTCTGCGAGCACGTGTACTTGTATCACTCGTTATACCTACAACATAGCCAGACACTACATAAGTCAAACGACAGCTATGATGACGAATACCATAATGTTGGATTTGCGTTTTCCACGTGATTGTCTCTGATCACTTACACTATAGGATGGGATATTGATTATTCCACACCGCATTTAGTTTGGTTCAAGTTTCAGAAGAATTACAATACCTACTCCATTTTTGCTTGAATTAAAAAGTTTTAAAATCTTCTCTTAGTTAAAGTTCTTTTCCGTATTCAATCAACACAAATTTAGGCTCATTGAGAGTATAAGAAGATGGAGCCGAGCTGACTATGGATATTTATGTGAGAGTCGTCGGGACTTGGTATGAATAACAAAATAATTTATTCCAAAGCTTTTAAAAATAAAATTCCCGCGAAGATATAAAAGTAGTTCTTCAATAATTTTTGAGGACTGATTTATATTTTATAAAGAATATTAGCGTCCAATAAATAATGTATTACATTCAACCGTTAATTAACGATGCTGAGATAAGTTAGTTGGACCAAGAAAATGAAACTCTCGCTACGCAATAATTCTGGAAGCCATGAAAGTTTCAAGCCTAGTCAGCTGTTGTTGATTGCAGCTGCTGTTCCATAGTGCTTCTATTGCCATTACCACTACTGCCTCTGTCTGAGGCTATTCAGGATCTTTACATTCTGCTTACGAAGCCAAACTTTCTTGAAAGTTCTAGTATGGTTTATGAACGTTTGTTCATTGATGGGGAAACGTAAACAAAAGTCTTCTTGATGATAACGATTCTTCGTGTTGTATTGAAAAATCAACGGTTGGGAAAGGAAACTTAGTCGTATGATTTTTCATTGGCTGTCTAATTAGCGATGGGCTGTAGAAATAATACATCTCTGGTATTTATGATGGTGAAAGTTACGTTCTTTTATTCTCACTGTTTTCCTAAAATAATTTCAAGAAATACAGACATGGTCTTAAAATTGTATTTGCTGTGTAAAAAAAAAAAAATTTGGAAAAAAGTCAAAACAAGTAATGGAATTTAAACCAAATTCGGTTCATTTTGACGGAAATACGTAAATTTGAAATGAGAGCAAATCGTCTGGACATGCTTACAATGAAGCTATCTTTCTATATTATTTTAATGATTATTTTGTTTCTGACCATCTCGAACCAAGAAAAGCTACATCGAAAATAATTCAATGCACTAAATCTCTTCACAAATATATCGTACAAGCTTTCAAAATGATGAGAATAAGGTATGTCACATTGACTGCCTAAACACATAATTTTTTCCATAATAAATCGATTACCGTATGAATAAGAAATAAACTTTAAGTAGTGCAAAAGTTATACAATAAGATATTTTTAAACCTAATACTTTACAGTATCTGCGCAATTTCTAATATATGCTTCGTTGTATTGAATTCAATTTCATGGACACCTATTGCTGAAATACTATCTTATTGTTTTCTAATTCTCCTATTACAACAAATATATGAGTTAGTTTGAGTCAACCCTCTAATTGTTCTAAAAATTATAAAGTTTTTACGGTATTCTGAGTATACTTATCCTATTATAAACGATTGACATTTTACGGCAGCATTCGAACCCAAACCACCCCTCGAGTTACATGGCAAGGAGGCTAGAATGCTGTCTACGAAGCCATAGTAGGTTTTACAATTGTGCATATTATCTTTACCACAAATATAAATAGTTGAAGCAATAAAGTAAAAGTTTTTGGAAATGGAGTAAATTCCAGTAACTGTACTTGAAAACATAACATGATAAAACTTTTAAAAAAATTTTTGTATGATGTTTCATTTCAAGTAATAAAAACAATTAACAAATTTGAAAACACTATTCCGCATTGATCTTGTAAAAGTAATACCATTTTCAAAATTTGTTTTAAACCAAAAACGTATCTGAACAAATGCTCACTTACATGTGGCAAAACCTACATGTGATTAAATGTTTTAACACTTACTTTGTGTCAAAAAATCATGCCAATAATATAGTTGTCAATTCAAATAAGCTCCCACGAGTCACTTTGGTGACGAAAAAAGAGCCAATATCTAGGAAAAGTTATACAAAAACACGATTGATTGTCAGTCGGGTAGATAAGTTTCTACGGAATATGAGGTCCAAGAGTATAGGCAAGCAACTGCGAGATAAGTTATTACGAATATCATGTCACCCACTACTTAGTGAATGTCTCCTCTTTATTTTCTATACGCACACGCACACAAACCTCGTGCCGTACATCCACTCTTCGTTCCAATATCCTAAAGTACATCCACACATTCAAGTATGAATGAATACACGCGTGTAAGTTAACACGAGGCGCAATTTCCGCAAGTAGCGCGACGTGCTAACCACAAAACCGTGCGTGCACATATTACATCGGCTCATAAGTTTTCTTTCTCGCGACGTTGGCTTTAATCTTAACCGTAAGATCTGCCGATTAAACGCGCCCTCGCGTGCACGTAACGTTCGAGTTTCTCATCCTGCGTGTGGGTGGATGTCTATACGGATGTGCCATTGTTCTCTGCTCTCTGTTGCTGTTGCAACAGCGGTAGCGATACCCCTCGCTTATATACTGGCACACGGGACAACCAGAGGGAGGTCCACGTACGAGTATTTGTAAAAAGACATGGATACTCCAGAGAGTTATAGAAATATTCTTACGAAAGCTGATGGTCCTTTTCAAAACACATTGTAGAAAGTGTTAGAACTCTGTTTTATTTTTTTGATGGGATTGTGCCTAAGAAAATACATCCTATGCGGGCTCTATGGTCAATACTCAAGCTTATTTCTTCCATTATTGAGTAAAACAAAGGTGTCTAAAGTGAATTGGTAGGAAAAAAAGAGCACACAGTTAAAACAACTGACGCGCAAAGGACACCTGCACATTTACCCTGTGTGTCATTTGATTGCTGGTGTGGAGCAGTTAGCAAGTGCAGTTCTCTAGAGCCTTTGTAAATGAAACAGTCAAAAAAGAGCCCATAGAGAAGAAAAGACAGAGAGTTTTTTTGGCGACGCTTTTACTTGTTTAACTGCGTTTCATTTATTTTCCAGAGAGGAAAACCACCTGAACGACTCTGTCCACAAAAACTATATGTCATTATAATAAATTTGCCAAGAAGACTTATGGTTTCTTTATCAATATTTAGTCGTTAGATGTTGAATTAGTTCAAAGTTTTTTTTCTACAGTTTTGTTAATTTTAACATAACTGTGTGACGTAAAATGTAACTTAAATGTAAACTGAACATAATATATATGTAATTAATATTTTAGTTAGATGTTGTCAAGTTAAATAATGATTTTCTCTTTGAAATTTTGTTAATAAAAACATAATTTTGTTTTGGATAATCCAATTTTAATGTGTAATTCAATATAATATTACAATATGTGTAAACTATAAATCCAGAGTTCAGTATTCACCGAGCATATTATAAGGTCATTCCCTCTTTGCTGGTAAGGCTTGTTAACAAAATGGTTTCTTGCGTAGTGGTGGTGTCTAAAATAAAAAAAAAAATCATACTACATTACACGGTCAATAAGAACTTGCATTTTTGTATCAGTTGACTCACCCATTTCATACCACTCGTCATTATTACCAGCATTCGATCTTGCCGAGTCAAGTGCGTTTCGGATAGCAAAAGGAACCACAATACTCATACACAAAGCTGGTTCCCCAGTATCTAAAAGTATGATGTTTTTAGTAAAAGAAAATAGCATCTAAGCTGCCACATTCTATATTTTTGTCTCACGACAAAGTCTTACTTTTTGATCTTAAAGTACCAGTTGGATTAGGACCGTCACCATACAAGTTGATCCTAAAGTCCACAGGAATATCTTGAGCACCGGGAGGTTTATAGTTCTAAAATTCATGATGAAAACAGTACAAAATATTCAAAGATAGTAACATGTTGCAAAATTTTCGTTACCCATGTTCTGTTATTCACTAGTGCTCCTGTATTTGGATCGTAAAATAATTTTTCTGAAGTGTATCGTCCAAGACCCATTATGAAAGCCCCTTGTATTTGTCCTACATCTATTTTTTGATTCATACTGACACCAACATCTTCTAAAATATCAACTCTTTCTACTATATGTTGTCCAGTCAAGACATCGACCTCCACTTCTGCCACAGCAGCCCCATAAACTACATAAGGCTTGTTAGGAGGATCAGTGGACTTGGGACTATATCTATTGACATCAATATGATATTGTTAATTTCAACCTGACGTTTGATATTAAAACAAAAGAATAAATAAATAAAAACTCACTGGTGAACTGCACACAGATCAACCCCTTGATTGTAAGCTTCGAATACTAATTGTTGCCAGGTTGGATTTTTTAACTTTTCGCGAATCGGTTGTAATCTATTAAGCAGTTGCTTGCATGCAAATTGAGTTGCCTGCAATCAAAATTTAATAACAAGATAGACAGCTGTAATTGGAATTGCTAAACTAAAAAAAAAAAAAAAAAAAAAAGTACAAACACTAGTACAGCAGTCACTTGTAACATTGCCAATAGTTCCTTGGGCGTTGGGTAAAATCGAGCTATCAAACGGTCTTATTTTAATGAGGTCAGGGTCTATTCCTAAGACATAAGCTGCTACTTGAGCAACCTTTTGAATTAATTTATGAGCTTTTAAAAATACATTATAAATTTTTACGGATAAAGTCTAAAAATTTAATGTTGACCTTGGTATTTATGCCTTGCCCAATTTCTATTCCAGCGTGTGTGATGGAAACTGTACCATCTCGAGCAAAAATTGAAACTAATGCATAAAATGGGCCAAAGAAATCAGTGTAGTATGCCATAAGGGTACAAGCAATCCCCTTTTTCTTCCATCGATTGTACTGCAAATTAATGAATCACAAAAAAGCTGTTTGTTTCAAGCAAATTTTAACCATACGTTACCTTATTATATTTATCTACTATTTGATGACGATTTTGAAGGTCGGATGTTCTTGTGATTTCATCTATAATTGGTTGCAATGTGCTTTTATTATCCACATTCATATTTTCCAGTCTGACTTGCAAGGGATTTTTTTTAGTAACTTTTGCTATATGTTCCATTATAGTTTCTATCATTGCTATTCCATCACAAGAGCCTAAAATTGTTTGTAATGATGATGTTACGTATAAAAATAATTTTTTTTCTTCGTCGAATTAAGGTTAACAAAGCTTACCAGGTGCTCTACACCAAGTGTTGCAAGGCAAATCTGTTTTTAAGTGATAACCAATCATATTCCAAGTTGAATAGTCATAGCAATTTTGCAACCCTTTTGTTATTTCCATCAATAAAACTGCATCATTGAATGAGTAGCCTTCATTACTAAAGTAATGAAGATTAGAAAATTGAATTTTTCCCATTTCATTGACACCAACATCATAGTGAAGATACGCAGGGGATCTTTTTCCCATTGATTTCATCATATCTTCGATGGACATGATCAGTCGAGCTGGTCTATTAAGTTTATAAGCAACTAAAGCACAAGCACAAGCAGGGTGTGCTGGTCTAGTAATTTTACATCCATAAGCTCCACCAACGCGTTTGAGGCGAAAATTAATACTAAAATGTGTTATAAACATAATAAAAATGTGCAATTGTTTTTTCTCTTATGAGTTAGTACATTTCCTTACGTATTCATAGGAATTCCCAAGCAAGTAGCGATACCCCACTGTAAAAATTCAACACATTGACTTCCAACAAATACGTCCATCCCACCTTCAATTGGTATGCATATACAAGATTGAGGTTCAAGCGTATAGTGATACTGACTTTCAACATTGATATCACCACTGATCCTAAATTGAACATCTTTACCTGTTAAGATTAATATTTTATAAATCAGTATGCAACTCTACATTATTACTTTTAAATTATAAAAGCTCTAATGACTTTGAAAAGTACCTGCTGGTTTCGTTGCGGGATTGTCAAAGAATTTTCTAATCCTGTTTTGATCATTGGTACTGAGTACTTCTTGTATAGTAATTATTGGTTTTGTTACACGTTCATTTTCATAAATCAATTTAACTTTCTGTGCAGCATCAAAAGCTTTGTACTGAGAAGTAGCTGCTATGACGCCGTATGGTTGTCCAGCATACAAAACTTCCAACTCAGCAAAGAGCTTCATAAATAAAAGTTTTTTATTGAATTTATGTATGTAAGCATAGAAAATAATGTTTTCCAATAAGTCAAGTGGTGTTCAACCTCATTCAAGGTTGCAAGATCTACCAGATAGATTAGAAAATAGTATTAGAACTGTGCTTTTTCATTTTCTCTGTGAATAGAATCTATCAAAAGACACAAAACACGAGCTTTTATTTTCAATAGTTTTTACTCAAAAGAAGTAATGTCAAAAAAAAAGCACGTAAGTAGAATTTTATGATAATTTATCTGGAAAATCATACAGTTTTTTTTATGAACTTTTTAGGTTATAACAAAAGCATTACTTGTACTGTGTACTGAAAGATATTATTAATTATTATATTCACCGGTTCATCGCTCGAAATGAACATATGAGGTTTTTGACTATTTACACAGACGTTTTTGGATGGGATATCTTTATACGAGTAAAATGCAACAACACCATTCATTTGCTGAAAATTTTTTGATAAGTATTACCTAAAACGATGTATTTTATTTCGTTTAAAAGATATTTATACCATTGCATCCTCATAATCGATACTTTTTATTTTTCCAGGTCTAGGCGCTAAAGTCATGACACAGAATACTTCACTGTCTTGTCTAGGTATGTCATCTAGGTATATAGCTTCACCTGATGTTTGATAGATCGCTTCAAGTTTCGTCAATGGCTTATTTAATGGCCACATACTTTTATCAATGTTGTATACGCTTACTCCAGACGAAATATTACGTTTTAAAATATTTCCACCACTCCTTAGTTTGTAACTAATTTTATGAGGTTGTAAACTAAGGAGAAACTGAGAAATTTTGACATTATTTACTTCTTTCTATTTTCTCTCAGTTTAAACTGTAAATTTTAAAGATTACCTTGTAAAATAAGCTTAGAGCAAGTATTCTACGGTATTGAGGTGTCGGTTTCGACAAAACATAATCTGGATTCAACTCATCATATAAAATATCAAGAGCACATTTTAAAACATTTCTATTAAAAATATTTTTGCCAGCAAGAAAGGATTCAGTTTTTTCTGCATGATACTTAATAAGATAAATTATAAAATATACTATTTTCATTTTCAACCACTGTAAAATATTATCAATAATGTACTCACAAAACTAGGATTGATATTACCAAAGACTATGTTAGGTTTCTCTACAACCACTGATTTAGTGTCCAGCTGAAGGAGAAAACCAGCATTCATAATAGCATGAGCATTTTGATAGACTGGCATTATCTGTATTGTAAATAAATATTCATCTTGTAAGTATATAGAAAGCATTTATAATTGAAATTCAAAATTTATATTTGAAATGAGACTTGGACCTTATAGGACATAAAGTTTTTTTTACTATCCAATTTTTTCAAAATAATACTATGTATAACTTTGTGTCTCATATCAACTTTTAAAAAATCTAGTAACTTCATTGAGATTTTATTTTTTTCAGCTTCAACTGCAGATATAACAACACTTTAAAGCTAATGTTTGTATCATCATGTAAAGTAATAAGTTAAAAATATAAGACGTACGAATTTGTATTTCTGCTTCAACTGTTTCCAAAATCAGAAATAAATCTGAAAGGAATTCAGGATGTTCATGTTTTAGCATTAAATTTCCAGCGATTGTGCCAATCTGAATGAAAAAGGTTACATTCTGCAAGTTGTAATATATAAACTGATATATTATCAAAAGTATTGTTTTGTATTACATTACGCATTGAAACATGACCAATAAGGTTGACATGGAGGGCTATTTGATGAAGATATGCAAACCCTGGGTGCTTGGCGATATGAGGAAATAATTCGATAACCGTTTGTAAAGAAGTTGTAGCACCGACAGTTAAGGTAGAATCAGTTTTTATAATGTTGTGAAGTTCGTGTACACCGTTGATGTCGATGTATAAATCTTTCTCCCTGATCCTATAAACACCTATAAAATTTCTGAATGTTTAAAAGCATGAATCTAGACTGAAGATTTGTTTACAGAACATGTATACCATTTCCTGTGTTTCCTCCGTTGAGAATGTAAGTGCTACTAGTTTTTTTTTTAAAGATTGCAAAAATTTGATCCACACTGAATACCTTGAAAAATTCGGCACCCTCAAGATTTAAATGGATCGGTTCTAACTCTTCAATCTCAATATTTACAAAGTCATCGTGTGAATTTTTACACGTCTTACAACTTTCTGGCAGTTGAAATACTACATGTGAATCCTGCAATGCAATGATTAAGTGTTTGCGGTATTTAATATAAGCTAAAACATGTACAAAATGTGATGAAAATCGGATAAAAATAACTGACAATGTGTCATACTGTATAAAGTGATTAACTGTAAATATTTCCGTTTGTTAATTAAATATTTAAAATGATGTTACTTTTTGTATTAAACTACTTGTTGACAATACGTTTATTTGAAATTAGTACTCCAAAAGTTATTGTGTAAAGCATAACCGATATTTTAAGATGTTCCCCGTACCAAACTAAAAATAGTGTTACTTAACTAATCGGAAGGTAGTCGTTAAAGTCTTTCATTAGATGTATTTGTTGACATATTGAAATGATTTGAATCAAATATATAATTTTTTTAAACGAAATTTGAAAAAATGGAGGGCTAGATAGGTACTTAAGAAGGGTGGAAAACAAAGACATATAATCGTTCCTTAAAACTCTCTGAGAACAGTCCTAAAAATTGTTTCTCTATGCATCTTGGTACAACCGAAGTTGTAATAAAAAACCATGTCAGGAATATATTAGCTAAAGTGTCTTTTATGTTCAGGAATCTATAAGTAATGAAGATTCTAATGGAGATGTTACATAATAATACTTATTTATCAATAACATAGTTTCTGCTGTATCCTTTTCAAGTACCATGAATTGGCGTGAAAAAAAATCGTATAGAACACTTTAATGACATTAAATTATTAGTTTAACGGCTGATAATCTACATGAAAAATAACAAAGACTAATTTACTAAAATATGGGTGGAATCTATTTACAGTTAAAGTTCTAAAGTCACTTGTAAATGTTATTGAGTAATTGAAAAAAATTACAACTGTTACATACCAGTACTCTAGCATTGAAATATGATTATCTATGTATAACACGAAATCATCAATAAAAAAAAAATAACTTACAAAAAAGTATGTCACGAACTACTCTCCGAATTTATTCAGAAATATTCAATAAATTTGCACGAAAGAATAAATTTCTACATGTAATAAACACTTTTTTATAAGTGGGCACACACAATAAATTATTTTTAATGAAATATGATGGTAAAAATGATAATCAAAATTGAGTTGTAATATTCTGAATTCTAGTATAAATTTTTATCCTGCTTTGCACTCTTTATTAATGATCAATATTTCGAACACACGCAAACGATGTGCGAAGACCTGAATAAGGGAGCATAATGAAAAAAAATTTCGGATGTTCTCATCGCTAAAAAGCGTTTTATGGGTCCTACTGCTAATTTCTTAATCCTGGCTAAGTGTTATTCTGATAGTGCTCCTTCATCAGCTCTGAACAAATCATATGCCTATGTGATAGTACTCATCACTTAACAATAACAATAATTAAAAAAATAATACTGATAATAATAACAATAACAATATCAGCAGTAACAATAACAATAATTAAAAAAAAAAAATTTCTACTTACAGAAAAAAAGATTATGTAGGTCTCTAAGCTTTACCCAGAGTGCACCACAAAGAGGTAGACCTGCGTGCAGTCTAATGTATGTATGTGTGAGTGTATGTGTGCATGTATACTTGTGTGAGCTTACGCACATAGTGTAAATGTACATGTTTGTGTAGCAGATGTAAGCTTAATTGTTGGTTTAAAAAAGTACGTTTGTCACGTCATCGTCATTGTCGTCGTCCTCATCCTCGTCCTTGTTGTCCTCCATCTCGTCGATTTCTTCATCGATGCTCGATATACGAGCACTTTTAGTAACAATGCCTTCTATATTTTCACTTTCAACAGTGGGAGAATCAATGGCTTGTAACTCGAAACCCACACGATCTTCATCATCAACGGTGATAGGATAAATTTTTTTAAAAGTATCGACGAGGAACTGCATGATTTGAGAGCCCAAATCGTCTTTGAACTCTTTCTTAAAGTAGTTCCGACGATAGAAAGAAAGGCAAACAATCGCACTTTTTAATAAACGTTTTTGGTTTTCCAGATCGTTTATTGTGTTCGTCACGTTTGTCTTGTCAACGTGTTCACCAATACTGTGATTGGTCGTCTTGTGTGTCACATCCTCGAAAATTTTGTTAACACCAACTTACTGTTTTGCACTGTCTGTGCAAATAAAACCAGTAGTTGGGTTGACATACTTTCTTAGGTAGGGCCAAAGAGCTTACTTGCTCTTGGAGTCGACCCTAAAGAAGAGCCCTGTCTTGTCATCTTTGCAATAAAGGCCCAAGACAATGATGATCATCTGCTCTGTAATGCATCCCCGATGATACTTCCTCTTCGTGAGGAACGTTTCATCAACTTGCACGATTTTTTTCTCACCACCAAGTTGATAGTAAACGTGAGACGCTATCACCTCAGCAATCTCACGGCAGTAGCTGTAGTAATCTACTACTGTGCTTATGCTGAGCTTGAGATCGTTTTTCTAGTGACGTCAAGCCAGTAAATGCTAAAATACATGAAAAAATGTATGTTCATGAAAGTTTATACTTCTGGAAAAGACAATAATACTACTATACTACAGTATATGTATATTTCTAGTAAAGGACAATATGATACTACAATACTCACCTGATACGAGTCTGCCACAGGCGTTTTAGCCACAAAAAAAAACAAAAAAAGTGCCTTCAGCATGGTTCTTTTTTTTTCTATAAGACTGGGCACCTCTTTATCAAGCTTTCCGTAGCACAAAGGCAAATCCATCCTAATTTGACGTGTTTTTCCTCGACCTTCATTGGCAAGCCGTAACACAATAGAGATGTCGAAGATCTTGATGGAACAAGAATAATTTTTCTAAAAAAGTCAGACATTTCTCATATGTCTCGAACAAGTCGTTGAAAGAGCAGAAAAAGGAGAAGGTAGCTAACTTTGGATGTAATTGCGGATGATTAGGCATTGCTTGCACTTGACAATAAAACATTTAGAGACGTAGAAGCTAGAAGATTTACAAATAACACTGAGCTTTTATACTTTAAATTTTTTGCGTGCTAAATCAAAAAGTGCGAAAAACCCTTACATCAAGAGCGTATCAGCTATCAAACGTATATAAGAATAAATAATACACTTTGAATTGGGTTAGTGAATTGAGAAGCAATAATAAAATTAAAACAAAATGTTATCGTTTTTAAAATCAATGAAAAATATTGCGTTATAAGGTGTTTTTATNATAATAATAATAATAATATATGGAATCATAATGGGGTTAAATATACTTCGATGTCGTAACAATTGATTGATTTCCTGGGAACTGGACTTGACAATGACTGAAAAGCGTCTAAAATTGGTCTATATCCCGTACAACGACATATGTTACCACCAAAACCATTTTCAATATCATCAGTCAAATTTTTTTTACTCTTGACAAGACTAGAATATTAAAATTATTTTATGAATGCAATCACAATTTTTATTTCTAGAGGTTTCTAGTATTTACCTATACATATTCATAACCATACCAGGAGAACAGAAACCACACTGAGAACCATTAAGCTCAGCTAGCTTGCTTTGTATAGGACTGTAACCCTTTTTTTGACTTCCAATGCCTTCAGTAGTAGTGACTTTCCAACTATTAAAGGATAATTCTAAGACAATAAATGTTAAAAATACCAAATATGTTAATGAAGATAAAGTGTACCCATTGCACAAAAAAATTGGAACAAGGCAAGAATTCGTTGAAAACGTGTAATTGTTCAAGGTAACTGCTACTATACACGCGCCACATCCTCCTTCTAGACACATGTATTTAGTACCAGTTAATTTTGCAAAATTTCTTATGAAATAATTTAATGTAGTCCTGGGGTGAAGATTTTCTGGAACTATAGATACATAAGCTTAAGATCGGCATTCATTTAATTTTCTAATATTGCGGTCATGACACAGTAATCTTACCTATGAATCTGGCTTCATTGATTGTTAGCTCAATTTTAATTTTACTCATTTTAAAATCAGCTGAAATAAGTTTCAACACTTATTTAGTACTCTGATTGACATAAATCGAGGTCTTGAATTATAATGAAACACTAGTTAAAGAAAATGTGCACTGTAACAATACTACGATTAAATGATTCAAAACCAAAAGGTGTTAAAAAATGCTAAAAATTTTTCTACATACAAAAATAGTTCTGATAACTTTAAGAAAAATTTAAATGTCAGAAGCAAACAGTAAAAAATGAAATAGTAACTCTGACTTTCCAGCTACTTAGACGGATAGTAAAGGTGTTAAATTTAAATTTATATTATTTATGCACTTAAATGAATTATATGGCTTATCAAATTTCATTTTAACAATATTTGTTTGAAAAGAAGTGGTAGAAAAATAAATTAAAGTTCTAAAACAATATAACATATGTTTCGTAATCAAAGTATTAACTCTATAATAAAGACTACGATCGCAAATTCCTACCTTTAATAGATTTTAGATGTACAAGAAAATAGATACTTTAGACTTTCCGTTCTTCACTAGTTAGCCTTATATAATTACACTTTCTAAAAAAATTTGTAACTCAAGTCTTGGTCTTCATGGTTTCGAATTTGTTCATTATATGAAAATAAGATACAATACCGTTCTTAACGCAACGTATCTAAAATTCAGTCCAATCAGTTGAGTAAACAAATTTATCAGTGACACACTAAATCAGTTAATCTCATTATAAAAGTTTTATAGCAGTTTTTTATATTACTTGACTGTACGAAGAAAGTAAATTTAAGTATAAGAAAAAATAATCTTTGGAATCTCGCAAAAAATAATGCGTTCATGTTATTTTACCACTACTGGAAACGTACTTCAAAAAGTATGTACAGAACGTAATTTCAGCCATAAGAAAGCAATTGCCTACGTAAATGCTGATAATCAAAACACTCATGGGCATAATAAAATTTCCAACAATCATAAGAAAAACCATTGCAACACCATTATAAAAGTATGGACATTATAAAAAAATTTGTAAAACCTACTCGTTTTCTCAGATTAATTGTCAATTACTATTTTTATTTCATGTGTAAGCAAAAATTGACAAAAATACAGTTTTACAGAACTTCAGATCACATAAAAATTATTTCCAGGAAGTATCGCCTTGGGTCACTACTTTTGTGTTCTTTGCTGCACTTTGTCTTTCTCAGTTTTGTTTGTATTTTATGTCTTTTGTCATTTTTTCTATATAGACAAATGGGATTAAAATCAAATTATTATAGACTATTTTCATAAAAGTAATTAGTGTTAAGTACTTTTTAGAGAAGTCATCGCACTTAACCAAAGCCAATACCCCAATTGCAGAAAAAGTTATGTCTAGCTTGCTACTACTCTCATGTATAAAACAGTTTAAAACAATGTTTAGTTCAGTTACATTTTTCACACAATTTAATTTCTGACAATCTTCTTCTAAAATTAGAAACGCTGATTCTTAGTCAGAAAAATTCGGGCCTCAAAATCTTTTGAACACCATACTTCAATCAAGAAAATGTATAATAAATTATAAAAGTCAAAGACTTAACAACAAACGAAACTGTTTAACTATGTCTTATCAATACATGAACGGATGTAAAATCCTACTATTACACTTAAAAAATAAATAACTGTTTTTCTTGAAACAACAACCTACGACGTATTTCAGCACTTTTTTTATGCTACTTATAACAACTTTTAAATGGATTACCAACTCATTTATTTTAACTTTATCTTAAAATTAGAAAACATTAAATTAAACTTTAATTTCAAATACTTGTACACGGGTGAGTTCAACATTACACGTTTTGTTTTCGGTGTATCCATTACAGTTGAGTCAGACTTACGCCGAAGAACAAGCTTAATTACTTTTTAATTGCACTTTCAAATGGCAACGATTTTCTTTGAAAAATTGTTATTCTCGTGTCAAAATGCGACTTCATTATCAAATTCATAGATTGTATTTAAAATGTAAGCTCAGGAAAGTTAAGTCACAGTAGATGTTTAGACCTCCGTTGGTATACTCATGCCCAAAGCGTTGCATCCATAAAAGAAGGCATATTCTACTTCCATACGATATCTAACAAATATCGAATCACGATACTACACGTATCTTGCAATCAAGTTGTCAGCTAACGGACCAACAACATGAAAATTTCCGACGTATTTAATCAGGTTAGTAAATTTAAAGATCTTTTGACAAAAATGTACTGTTTTGTAAATGGATTTGTGTGTTTTAATTTTTTCATTCAAAATTTACAGTGGTTTTCGACGTTTAGCCATTTACTGAAAGAAGGCGAAATGGTCAAGATAATGGACCTACTTCGTCCTGTAAGTGTTTGTCGAATCAGAGACATGCAACAGAAAAATTTGTTGCACTACGTTTCAGCTGAATTACCACCGAACGAAATTCTCGCTTTTTATTTAATTCGCGCTGGTTGTGACGTCAATAGTATGGACAGTCTGGAATCCACACCCTTGGAATACGCAGTAAAAACAAGAAATATAAAAATAGCCAAAGTCCTTCTGGAAGCAGGGGCAGTTCGTGACAATTCTTACTATCATTTGGACAATGGCCCTCTGCATCAGGCTGCAATCAGCGGAGACGTTGAGATGTTGAAGTTGTTTCTAGAACATGGATTCGACGCAAAAGCTATAGACGAATCAGGTCAAACTGTATGGCATCACGTTGCTCAAAACAAATGTAAGAAAGGTTTTTAATTTTTTTTTTTAATTGAATAGATGGAACTATTGTCTGTCAAAATAAGATATTTGTGACGTAGTTATCTCGATTCTAATCGAAAGAAACATAATATTCGTAACAGAAAATAGTTTGTTAAATAATGGATTTTGTAGGATGTAACAATCTATGCTTCGTTTCATACGTATCTCGATACGTGAAGTGAAAATAAATAAAATAAGTGGATATAACAATTTTTTTTATGTATGAATCAAATATGTATTCTAATTCTTATTTATTCTCTAAACAGATAGCCAATTTGAAGCTTTTGAGAACCTCATCAAGACTGGTTTGGACGTCAACTTTATGATTGACGAATCCTCGTTACTACATTACGTTGTCAAGGACTATTACGTATACCTAAGTTCAACCGAAAAATTAAAGGTATTTATGTTACATAGATTTTTTTTATTTATTACAGTGTTTTTACACTAAAAAACTTAACTTGAGTCTTTCAAAGCTTACTGTATCACTTTTATATATTTTGTTTCAACCTTAAATTAAAACTTATCTGAAAATGGACTCATCTGCATCTTTAATTCTAGATCTCTAAACTACTAATTGCGGCAGGAATAAATATTAATTGTCTCGATATCTATGGAAGAACAGCATTGCACTACGCCTGTAAAAATATGCACGAAGATGAACAAATTCTAAGGCTACTTCTTGAGAATGGTGCTTCGACCGATATTCGGGATGTCAGAAATCGAGATCCTCTCAGCTATGGGTTACAGAAACTTTGGTTTCCAGCTGCTGCCCTGTATATTCGGGAAAGTTATGACAGCGATACGGAAACCTTGCCGAGATACAATAATTTGGTAAATATTTTTAACAAATATCATTAGAAAATTAGGTATCTGATTATAGGCTGACAATAAACTTACAATAATTAACTATTTAAGTCATCGAACGTTGAGATAGTATCCAAGCTCTTATTAGCTACTACAATCCTGGACTACAGTATCACCAAACCTTTCCTTTACTTAAGAAGCTTGATTCACTAAAGTTCTTTAATCATTCTAATTAAATACTGAGAAATTAGTTAAAAATTCATTCACAATTTAAGTTGTAACACAATATACTTGTGAACAGTTTGTGATCAGTATTCCACAATTTTATTTAATTGAGCTTCTGATACACGTCTAAAGCAAATTTTTCTTTTTTGTTTACTCCTGTATATAAATTTTATTACAAAAACTTCCGTTACTCGAAAACTAAAACGATAATTGTCAATTTTACTAAAATGTTGGCCTTTTGAAACACAACGAATCATTTTGTAAATGAAGTTACACACATGACTAATCTTTTGAAACATCACAACTGTTGTCTTGTAGCTTCATCACGACCTCAAGCTAATATTAAGCAAGCTGATGATGATACATTTCACATAAGAACTCAAAGTAACTCAATCGTTTATGTATTGAGTCTCCCAAAATCGATTTTAACTCTTTAAAAGTGAATGTTTTCTTTTATATAAATTTCAGATAAAGACACTGATAAGTAGAATGAAATTGATGTTCGAGTACGGAGCAAAAGTTAATTTAGCCAACGAAAAAGTGAATCCATTGTTCTCTGCTGTATTGTGTTACCGCAATTCTGAGCTTCTCCAGTTCCTGCTCAATATGGGAGTGGCGTACGACTTTGAGGATGAGATGACGAGCAGAGTGCTTACAAAAGGCCATAATGGCTCCAAGGAAATATCGACACTATTGATCAGTCATGCAGCCATTTCGCTCGAAAAAAGCCGAGCTGATATGTCTCGAAACTTTGATCCAATCAACTTGAGTTCCTGTCAGCAGTTATACTATGCACAATGCACAGAAGAACTTCAGGTTATGAAGACAACGATAATAGAGCATACAGATGTATCATTTCTGGACATCCTGGCTGACAAGGTCATCAAGTGCCATTTGCTAAACGAGCATGTCATCAAGGCCATGAATGACGATCAACTGTTGAACCGTTTTCCTATATACAGGGACAGATTGGTTGAGCGTTTCAACACCGAAAAAGAGGATTACGAGTTGAAACTGAACGCAATGAAAAGCTTAGGCTACATTTTTAAGATAAACGTGGATGCGTATCGGCTGATTTTTAATTGTATCACCGATTACCTAACGGAATCAGATTTAAGGACCCTGTCACACATTTGATGCTTTATCAAACATATTATGTGTGTAACAGTGACGATGAAAATAAGAACTATTGATATTAATAGCATACCTTCTTCGTATTATGTAAATAAGTTTCCACTGTGTTGAGTGTTGATGACAAATCATCGTTTACCTTATAATTACGAACACAAAGTCATTTCTTACTTGGCACAAGACGACTGTGTAATTGTTAAGCTAGAATACTACTACATGAGCTCATCTTGTTATGTTAATCATACAGTCCGATATACTTTATTATTAATTTTATGCGTACCTGCGTTGAATGTGTACCTGGACTTATTGTCCAAACCGAGGATGTAGTAATTTGTAATAAATATGACGAATACAAGAATTATTGACTTTTCAACTCATTGTCTTGCAAAAAGCAAACAGCTTTCAATCTTGTTTATAATAAAGAGACCGTGTATATCTTTCGACAAATTTGATATAAAACTAACATGAAAAAACTTATCTCATTCTTAACAGATTGGCAGAATGTTAATTGTAGATTCATGGACTTAATTAAAAGTTAATAAAATAATTATACAAGAAATATGTATGGTACTTGTTTGTCATTTTTCGCAGTATAATCCTGCACCTTCGAATCACTTTTTAATTTTAGTCTAAGTTATAAAAGAGCGATATTTAAGAATGCAAGCACAAAAATATAATTTATTTATACAGTTTACTTTTGTATCCCAAAACTGTAATTTGCTATATTTTTAAAGTAACAATTTTTTCTGAATGTGTATCTTATAAATTAGCATTACAAGATCGATGATCCTTAAATACGTAACACATAATAATTATGTTTTACTTGTCTACTCATTGTAATTTTGTGCAAATCTGACTGTAAATCAGCATGAAAAATATTCAATTAGAAGATCTTGTTTTAACAATTGTCCACAAAAATTCACACAAAATTAACAAAAAATTTTTCATTTCTTTCTCAATTTTGAATAACTCTGAGATTTTAGAACTTTGCAACTATATTTTTCAATGAATTTTTAGATCTCCGTACAAATGTTTGTCGTAAAATGACCGTTAATATATAAGGTAGTCAACCTCATATTTTCCACTTACAGAAGAATTCCATTGGGAAGTTCACTGTTTTGCTTATCAAAAATGTTGAATGAATTGTTTTTTATTGAAAACTATCGGAATTTTGACCGTTCCTCGATCCAGTTGAGAATTCTCTTGATAAAAAACTTTATATTTATGCAACCTGAATAAGGTATTCGAACAATCCAAAATTCCCATTCCACGGAAAACGAATGAAAAAAGAACCTACGTGTACGAAACTTTTGATTCTTTTCTGCTTCATCCTTTTTTGTACACTGATGCTTTTATTTACTCCCTTTATCACAGGCAGACACGAAAAAAATCGAAAATCTCACTCTCCCCACGATTTCACTTCGCACACTCGACTCGATTCCCATAAAGTCGATCCTTCTAAAAGCTCGTCCGAAGGCACACAAGCACTGCAGCAGTAAGAAAAAGATGTAACCGCTAAATTCAAAGAGAATCGCGCGCGTGCGGAAAAAAAGTCGCGTGCCTCCTGCCTCTTCCTCGTGTGGCATACAAGCATATTTTCTTGAACAACGGAACCTATAAATAAGTGTAAAACCGCATTTTCACAGGCATTCCACGTCCCATTATCCCTCGGGAATGTCCTTGCTTCGCAACTTTTTTTTCCATTCTTACAAATACACAAGCCCGTGCAAGAGATAGTCACGAGTGAAAGTCAATGGTGGGCGGAGCAGGGGAGAGAGAGAGAGAGAGAGCGCGCGTGTACGTACGTGACTCGGCGTGGAGCTGTAAGAGCGAGGACGACGATGACAACGACGTAGGGGCTCGTTAAGGGCTCCTCAATAAGGAGCTTTTTAATTGGCGGGCGGCCTTTATTTATACGCCCGGCGAAGTCCCGGCGATCCACGTGCCCGCTGTTATGCGCCTCCTTATTTGGCGATAATGTTCCCGCTAAGGGTATATATGTATTCGGAGACACGTGGGGAAAGGACTACATTTTCGTTCGAGCTGTGAAATTAACGAGGAAGAGAGATGGATTTTTCCCTGGTCGTTGCTTTAGCATGTTTTTTTGTCCATAATGCTGCGACCGATGGGAAAAATTTTTGCGTGTCCAAGCAGCTGCATGGCAAGTTCGTGAGCCTGATTGATGCCGTCACGTTTTGAAAGTTGCTCTCAAGTATTCCGGCAACTGATTCTCGGCGTTGTTTTCTTTCCTGTTCGATAGGTGAAAAAACTTTCACTCAAGTCAGAGTAAAGTGTAACTATGTCGAATTACATGGTTTTATCTAAAGTGGCTATTTGTAAATGATTTAAAGACACAATAGGAATTTGAAGGTACTTAGAAACCGTTTAAAATAACGTTAAGGGTTCTTAAACAAGAGTGTATGAAAGGATCTATCCATCTGTCCTCTGTACTTTGATACCAATTTAAAAAATTACGATTAGAGGCAAGTACACGTTCTATTATACTTTTGTCACTTTTACAGTTCAGTATCAAGACGTTAGGTGGTACGAGTACCTGCAAAAGACGTATTTACTACTAATAAGTGTGCAATAGCGTTCCTAAATTGGAACTGGAAGTATAAATTTATAATCTTAAGTCAACGCAGTAATTGTATTTATTTGATAGCCTACACAGTTGTATAAAAACGTAAAATATTACTTACATAAGCGTAAGGAGATTAACTTCTTTTGGTGTTAGGTATGAGCGATGTACTTCACTTGTACCAGCCTCCTTTTATATAAAAAAATGCATTCATTTTGTAACATTGCAGTTCTATTTACTCTTCGAAATATTTAAGAATTTCTTTGAATCACAACGAACCAATAGATGTTATTGTGGAACACGCGTCCTAAGCAGATATGAATTTACTATTAGCTGATATTTTGCCTGAATGTGACTATCAATTACATTAGTAAAGCTGATTTGGTTGTCCCCTGTATGAATCCATACTGAATATATAAAACTTTTAAAATCCATTTTCTAGTTCCAAAAAAGCCATCGCACTATATCCATGTACTAAATAAAAACTTTTTTTTTACTTGACAGTATTTAATTGTAGTTTCCAATTAAATCAAAGTTAAACTTCAACAAACAAATTACATGGCCTTTAAGTAACTCTGCGTAACTCTGTGACTTACATAACTAACAAGGGACCATGAATATTAAAATCCAAGTGGACACTCCTAAAATTTACACCGTTAGCCAAACTCGATACTTAATAAGCGATCTGACGATTGACATTGTCAAACCTGTCTCGAGTTAGGGCAACATTATATCATGCTGGACCATACATCCCATGTGCAAGATATATGGTCTATAGTAGGAAAAAAGCACCATCATGTGAATAACAGAAGGACAAGATCTGACAAACGTATGCGAGGGAGACTCCAGAGTTCGGAAACGAGAACAGCATCAGCAAGACGCAAGCGATCAAATTATGCAAACGTAGCGAGAGAGAGAGAGAGAGAGAGAGACGGAAGCGAGTTTCGCTTCATTAATCCTTGATTAAAGCACCTAATTAGGGTCAGTTTCGAGTCGCGTGGACACGTGGACAGTGGAATTTTCTCTCTCGGCCGCGCCGGGGACCCAATTTTCATCAACAACTCGCAATTAACGAGCCAATTAGCATCCCTTCCCTACCTTGGTGGCATGCGTCTTCTTCCCTGACCAGCGTCTTTCGTATCAATGGGCGAGTATTATGCGACCTGGTGGAAGCGTAGGAGAGTTTTATATGAGAGGTGCACGTACGCTGCTTTGCGAAAGGAAAGGGAAAAAATGAGGGACGTTGTCGTGCGAGACGTGACTCTTGGACGAGCGAGATGATGTTTACGAGACGTGGGTGATGTTGTCGTTGTTGTTGCGAGTGTCGTGAAATTTAGCGAATTTACTCATTGAGCTGGGCTTTTGTACGCAACTGTGAGCGCCGCTGCTATTAAGTACATGTCGTATTGAGGCTACGGCTCTTAACGTATGGAAATGATGACTATTATTCTGTTAAGAGTATTTTTTAATCTGCATCACGTTGGTTAGCTTGACTGAGTTGTTTTTTTAGGGTGAAAGAAACAAAGTTAGGCTTCAATGGTCATTAGATCAGAGAGACATTATTGAATAAAGGTAGGTTAATTCAGCATTTTTATTGTTAAATAATACTTTGCACAAAAAAATGAAGAACAATTACTTAAAAATATTACTTTTAAAAGATGCACGAGCGCAAAATGTTGATTTAGTCTTCTTTCTACCAAAAATCCTTAACGCATCAGAGTACGCTACTAGACTTTAATAAATCTAGGTATACTTCTGGATCAGAATGCCTATGGCCAATCAAACAATATATTATTTCTCTTTGTAGCACCTCTACAACACTAAAGAGGTGAACCCGATGTGGTGGTTAGGAAAACTATAGAGTAGATTTAGCGAAGTAGATCTATTCAAGTCTCCATAACCGATGTTGGATTTTTTCCTGTTGCTTAAACATATTATTAATGTCATCTTTTGTCATCATTTCAAAATTGAGCTGCCTTCTACGTTACGCTAGACTCAAGCTATCGAGATCCGTATTGATCTGTCATGGGTCGAAAGATTTAAAGTAAGCACAACAAGAATGAGCTCCTAACAGACTCTTTTTTTAAATAAATGCTAATTCATATGGCTTGTAACTTTCTTGTTAAATTTTTTGTTTGTGATGTGCTTAGCTGTCTTGTAAGGAGCTGTTTAATAACGGTTAGTGATATCTCATCAAAGGAGGCGTATGGTGTTGGTTATGATTTATTATTTTTTATTTATTTATTTTTTTATATTTTACAGCCATTTCTGAGAACTATGCCCACTAGCGCTCTGCATTGCTGTGTTACTCTGCATGTGTATGCTTCTGTCATTGGCATATTAAAAAACCGCCTCAGATTTTACTGTGACACCAATCACTGACACAGTATTGGAGACCTTATTTGAGATGGCTTTATAACCATCG